GCAAATCTTATTGTTTTTGTAAAAGATTCATTCTACTCTCGTCTCTCTCGCAAAGAAGAGTAATGCGTGAAAATCAATGTCAATATTGTCCAATCAGAGAGTGTGGCATGAAAAACGGTCAAAAAACTGTCGTCATTGATACTCCGTTTCAATATCGGCGTTACGCCCTCCATCCTGTCGGTGATTCTAATTCCAGGTGCATTGGAAGTTTACTTTCATATGCATTTCCGGTTGTTCATTATCCTTCTCATGTTTTCGGCTGTGGCTTTGCCTTTTTTCTTCTCATCTTCTTCTTTACACTCGGACTGTAAATTTGCCATTACATACGTCGTCGTGTCAGGATCTTATTCCTGCTTCTTGCGGCCGCTATCTTGTTATGGATGTTTTGTTCTTCACTGTAAGAGGTTGTTTGATTGCTTGTTGTCCATACGTTGCGTTTTTCGCCTTCATTCTGTCGCGTCACTGTCTACTTTCGAACTCTGAGGTGAGTATGACTGCGTATGATGTGTTACTATCTTGCTTTCTTTCGTCTCCTTCCAAAAGTATTTCTTGGGTACCCTCCCCTCCCATCAGGGACTTCTATAGATTAATTTCCATAGATTAGTTTCTTGACGCCTTTTATATTTTCTCCGTTGTTATTTACTGCAGCTGGTGGACCGTCGTGCCTTCTCCGATCACTCTCTTCTGCAAAATAAGCGGTTGCCTGATCTATCTACGATGCTTTCCGTGCCGCATGTTCTCTCTTGTTTGTATTCCGCGTCTGATTTGATATCCGTAAGCACCGTTTCGCAGTGTTTGCGACGTTGCTTTGCTCTTTAATCTTTTATGTCTTTCCATTAATCATATATCATCTGAAGCATGCAGTCATGGTTAAACAGAGATAGTTACAGACAATTCCAAATTTCTACGGGCTCCACTGTCAGAAGCGAATTCTCTCCTATTTTTTCTTGTCTATGCCATTCTATGTGATGCATGTATTCTAGATGTGGCCAAATGCTAATCTCTGACTTTGTCGTTTTCATCTGCTACAAGTTAGAAATCGCGACCGCCGATTCAACATCCAAATAAATGGGGACTTTTGTGCGATCCGCCTTTGACAGGCTGACAATTCCGATATTGCCCAACGTGCAATTATTGAAGGGCATTATTTCAATCAGATTAATGTGTCTGTTATGGACAAAGACCAAACTAAATTAGGTCTACTGATACACGCGTCCTTACCTACACTGGCAATGAAAAAGTAAACGTTTATGAATACACATCTTCTGTGGTTATTAGCCAAAGCTTGGGACGACTATAAAACTGATCCAATCCTTTTAATGGAAACTTCATCCTGTTTGTTGCTTAACATTGAATCGAAAAACTTAGGAAGTATTTGTTGCTTAACATTCTGGCCGTTCAGTTTAACAATATTTTGATTGTAAAGTATTGGTCGATTGTTGGACCTAAGTGCTTTCAAGCAGTCATTTGCACTCAATCCAGCCCTGATGATATTACGGTTCATTTAATGAAATGGACTGTCACTGAACTGTCATACTATCTGTTATATTTGATGCCCTGAGCCGTTCAAACACTTATCTGTACAACTGTGTGCGCAGAATCAAAAACGTTGAGTGTTACTTATCTTAAATTGAATTGAATAATTGGTGCCCTGATTCATGAATCGTTCAACTGACTATCTAATTTAAACTGAATTTCCATAGAAGAATGAGTACATTAGAGGTTTACACTACGCGAATTACTAACACTCATTTTATAGTAGTTTAAAATTTGAAAAAGATAAAATAGTTTTGACTCTGGTAAAATATACTCAAAACAAACTGAAATTCTGAGAGATGGCTGATAACGGAATTCCCAGAGTAATAATCGGACGAAACAACGGTTCTGGTAAACGGCGGAAAGCCTTTAAAAATTACCCAAAGAGAAATCCGATATTTGCAACAACAGCCGCGTCTAAAAGAGGCGAGCAGTTGTGGATAAAAGCTTGGAAGAAGATAAAGGCTGCTTGTTTAAATCTGAACACCAGCCAGAAAAGTGTTTTACATGTATGGCAGAGGCATGGATGTTACGAAAACGCTGCCAGAGAAACGCGATTTCGGCATGGAAAGCAGTTAATTCCATCGCATTTTACTAATCACTCCATTATGGTCAAGGCGATCATTCAGACAATTAAAAGGTACGCGAATGATGGTATTTTGGTAGCGTAATAAAAGGTGCAAACAATTGGTGCGTTACTTATAAGGGTAACGTATATGTACATGTTTAAAAAAACAAATTTTTTGCGAGAAGGACATTCTGTCTACAAACTACTGATATTGATCAGTAAGCATCTAAATAAATAATGGCATGAGTAAGAAAGTAAATCGCTATGTTAATTAATTAATATAAAGGCAAATAAATACAGAAATATGAAAGTAAATCATTATGTCAGTAATAAAGTTGATGAATAAATAGAGTGCCGAAGTAAGTAATTTAGTCAGTTAACACATAAGCGAGGAGGTAATATCTGCTGTTAAAAATGGGATCACGAAAGAATCCTGCTTTACCAATGCAGAGATGAAATATGTGAGCAAATCATGAGACTAATTGCACTTGTTTCGTTTCAGTTTTTCACTATGGTGTATTTTGCACAATTTCTCTCCGCGATAATTAAATGAGACTATCTTATTCTGATAGCAGCCTCCGTTGCATAAGTATTTAACTTTACGGATTAACTGATAATAAACAAGTGGCAAGAAAATTAGGTCAAAAGCAATATTGCAAACAAAACCATGACTGTTTACCAATCGACTAATGCAGCAATATGTTATTAATGTTGAAATGTGTATTGTTATTCACAAACAACATGCTGGAATCTATAGCTGCAATGCGAAATACAGCGACGACACTTTACCACTTGCCGACAGCCTCGGAATAACATCAGCGCAGCAGAAATTTTTCACGATGAAAAGATGTTTTGCTTTGTACGAAAATGACCTTTTTAGTTTATAGCCATCCCTATTTATGAAAGCATTCGCAGCTATTATCTACTAGTGTTGCATTATAACATTACGGCATTTTTTGCGGCCATCTTCGTCAGTGGTTAAATCATTACCCCTTGCCAGAATGTCTCTTCCTTGCCTATAACCACAGAGACATTGAGAGCAATCATTCTGAATATTAGTCATTAAAACGTACAAAATATTGTTTTTGTGATTTAAGGTAAATTACGATTCCTGAGGTAGATCGATTGAAGGGCTGTGAATGATTGCAAAAATAAAACCAAATTCGTAATCAGTGAATCGCTTCTTATTTAAACGAATAAAACCCTGTTTGTGTTTTAATAAATGCATAGTGCTAGGTTTGATAGGACAGAAACTCATATCTTTAAGCGTTTGCTAATAGAAACTACAAGAATTTCAGATTTAACTGTGTTGTAATTGTACCTGACTCAATATCAATGGAATTTGTGCAACGAGAGCGTTTTCAGACCCAACTGGAGCAGACCGGCTACGGCGTACGGAAAGTTTGGGCCCAATCGTACGTTCTTCTTTAAAAAGTTCAAAAAGCCCATAGGTTACAGTGGACGAGGTTACTGTCCATTTCCGAGTCTGGATCAAACTGAATGCTACTCTTGCTGTGTCCTGCTAGATGAGCGACAGGGACTAGTAACTGCTTTCCCTGTGCTGACCGCTGACGCCGAAACAAAAGGAATCGGTATCAGGCATACCTACACACTTGTTACGAGCAGTATAAGCAGCAGCAGCAGTGAAGCCGCTAAAGTGGCAGCGTCAATACAGGATGAAAGTTCTTCGAAAACCCTGACTGACGAAGACACCGCATCATGTAGTTCAGCTGCCTCGACCACTAAGCACAATGAATATCATGCTTTAGTCGACTGATTTAGCAATGATCTGAATTTGCTTATCACTCAGTTTCGGTTTAAAGCCGTAGCTATGCTTTCATCGTCCTACCGTTAGATTCTGAGCAACGTAGATTTCTGGTTTCATAAAATCCCAAGAACTTGTTCGTGTTTCAATTTTGTCAAGCACCTGTAGCAGGTGCTCCTCCAAACGGCGTTACAACGGATATAGACATAACTTTATAATGAGATTTTTTAAAGTTTCATTGGATGTAGACAATATCTAAATCAGTATTCTAATTTCCCTACGTTAATAGCTTAATGAAGGATTGTGCGTTCACTGTTGAGTTCAGTGCATCATCCGCAAATGATCCTGCATCTTGAGGTAGTGAAACACCTGTGGGGTTGATCAAGCCTCATACAACTATCCCATCCTGTCAATAGAACAATGATATTTTACTGATACCAATGATCAGGTTTGTATTACAAGTGGTATCAATGGTGCTAACCATACAGCAAGGTACCAAGCGAGATTAAATTCAAAGGCTCCGGGGTAAAACACTCCTGGGTGAGTATATTTATTAAAAATTGTACTGTGTATATGGACATCCATATTATATGATCTATATATATACAGATATATTTTGCTAGCCAGGTGCTTCCGCATTCTATCACTCCGGTTTCTTCCAGTTTCTCCAATATAGTTCTCCCGCAGGGAAAGTTCATGTAGTACAGACTGACAACATCCTCTTGTTATGACAATATTTTTATTGTGAAGCAGGCCACAAAGCATTTTAATGGGTTTGCATACAGTGATACCATTTATATCTGGTTATGAATGGTTTGAAATTTCACTTAAATTCCATGGGTACTCGGCAAAGACCACAGGATTCTGCACTGTTCTCTGGAGATTTTATTCCTTTGTTGTTGTTGCCACCGTTCAATTTTCATTTGACTTTGT